GGAATGGGGGCAGGATGCTACCTGGAGAACGATTTACTTTGCCCAGTTTATTGAGATCCTTTTATCTGCGAATGCCAGGTACACAGTGGAGAGACAGAAAGAGTTTCCTTACGGTCCCGAAACATGTTACCTACAAGCTCGAGCATCTCTACCAACAGTTAAAACGGCATAGTGGCCAGGTACAGGGATCAGCAAGGTTTGGCCTAAGCCTCTGCTTAGACTGGAGTACTAGAATGGCTTCCCAGTGGAGAGAATGAAAAAACTCCTCAAAAGGTTTTATAGGCCAGCTTAGGAATCTGTTTGCTTGTAACTTTTTTTTTCCTTAGAGAATGCATTCATTTATTGAGCAAACATTTATTAAGTGCAGTTATGTACAAGGTGCTGCTTTAGATATAAGTGTAAAAATAAGAAATAGCTCCTGCCTTCCAGGTGCTTACAGTCTAGGAGGGGAGATAAGGTGTGTATGCAAATAACTATCATACAGGATTATAGTCTTAGCAAATTAGAATAAGTGCAAAAAAGGGAGCTCACACACTGTGCTGCTAGGAAATGCGTTAGAGTGGGGAGAAAAAGGGTTTAAAATGTTTATGTAGTATCTACTTGAATGGGAATGATACACAAAAACATTCAAGCAAAAAGACAATCTGTCCTATTAAGTTACTTTTTATACCTAGACTGAAATATTTTTAAATAATCCAAGGTGTTACTATAGTAATGATCTATAAATTATAACATAAATTCAATCTGCACTTTCTCACTGTTCTATGTTGTATTAAAGTTTTTCTTTTAAAAAAGGAAATATTTAGAAGAACATAAAAGCCTTTTTCATTATAATATAGTAAAAGGGAATTTTACCTTTATTGAATGAACAAGAAAATAGTAATGAAATTTTATGTTTTCTGCTCTCCTTTTCTTCTCAACCTCAGGAAAAACTGATAGACTCTCTTAGTAAAAAAATTAATCAAGTATACAAAGTCTGCATTGGAGATGCAGAGGTTGGCAGCCTCAACCCAGTTCAAGAGCTGGTAAAAGTAGTCTCGCCTGGTGGAACTGAGTGATCTCATTGAATCCATTCCCAAAGAAAACATGGAGGCAACTGAGAGGATGAAACAAAGAACAACGGCAAAAGTACAGTCACTGTCTTATGATATAAATGTAGTGAAAGACTTAATGAGAAGCTGTTCTTGCTTGGATTCCACACACATTAAGGAAGTCTATTATACGGCAAGTCTCTATTATATGCCATATAGAGACACAGTGGAATCAAACCCAGCCCTGCCCTCCTCATGGAGCTATTATTTAGTGTGGAGACACATAACATCCATATTCTTATGAAATAAATATCTCCTTATCAATGGTAAAACAAGCACTGTGAAGGAAAGAGTTCATCAGGGGCAAGTGACATAGTTTCGGATGGGCAAGGGGTCCTTCTAGCCTGAAAAAGTGAATTTTCAGAGTGAATATTCACTACTTACATGAAAATTTTCAAAGGGCTATAATGTAGAAGGAGATCTATACTTGTGGTGAAGGGCCCAAGACTAGAATTAGGAGCCTTTCATTGGAAAACTACAGGGAGACTCAATCTATGAAGGAATTGTTTGACAGTTAGAGCCATGTAATGAGGGTTTTCCTCAGTTCCTAACTGCCAACACTTACATACATCACATTTGCTCATTAACTCATTTATTCCTCAAGATAATCTCATGAAGACTATCATCCCTGGAACACATACCACCACCCTCACCTCCACCACTGCCCAGCCCCCATGTCCCCACATCTTTGCTTAGCTTGGGGCCTTTCCTGGAGAATCCACTGATTTACAAATTTCCATACCAAGTTAAATAAGGATTTTATGTACATACTACCTTTGAGGCAATGATTATTATAAATATAATATGATCCCTAGTATAATGTAGCATATAGAGAATGCTTATAGGCAGAATAATGTTGTTATAGCAAAAAAACATGTTGGCAGGCATACTAGAACTATGGCTATGAGCATGGGCATTAGAGCTGACCTGCCTGGGTTCAATCCAGGTTCCGCCATTTACAACTTTTGTAACCTTAGGCAGGCCACACAAGCTCTCTTAAGTTTCAGTTTCCTTATCTGTAAAATGGCAGTAATAATGGAACTTATCTCACAGGGTTGTTGTGAGGATTAAATTAAATAATCTATGTAAAAGCGCTAAAGCATGCCTGGCATATAGTAAGTACTCAAAGAGTAGCCATTAATATTACTTTGTTACTGCTTACATTACTGGGGTGGGGGGGATACTGTTTCCTCCATATAAAAACAACGTCCAGAATATATTAAGGTGATCCTGATGGGATTTTATTGAATATGAAGCAAATTTTTTAAGAAATCATAAATGAAAGAAGACGTCTCCTTCCAGAAGACGACCTTTGACTAATTACACTAAGAACATTTGCATCTTGTAATTACTACTATTTCCAGTAGTGATACATGAATCTAATTCCAATTACTTATCATTCTTATCAAAAGGAGAATTTTACTGGATTTTTCCCATGGTTTGGAGGCAGCTAACATATCACCTAATTTTGCATAAAAAATGTTCAGTGAATGTTACATGGATAATTATATACATCCATAAAAAAGCTATCACTTGTCCAGTGGTTATTCTGCACCAGGCATTGGACTAGACAGTTTGCATAAGTCAGCTCATTTAATTTTATCCTCATAACAACCCTAAAGAGAACAAAGACAAATACTATTTCTTGGCCTTAATTTGAGGATAACATTCAAAAAGATTTACTGGAAAGTATGTTTTTGTGGTTATCCATTGAACTATATACACTTGTGATCGGTGCACTTTTCTCCACATTATACTTCAATAAAAAGGTTTAAAAAGAGGGGGAAATAGCTGGAAATTAATTCAAGTGGCCGCCATACGGATTAACTGCGAAGTACTGAACTGTAAATGGAGTGATGAGAAAGGTTTGCTGAGGTGCTTGTTTTAGACCAAGATTTGGATAGATTTTACTTCTTCCAAAATGGTGACATGCATTTTCTTCCCATTTCAACACAAACAGGATTTGTTGTTGAAATTTCACCTGAATATTCAAAACCCATAGGTTTGGGTGAAGATGAAGTATTATTTTCATTTAACCTTAAAGGAAACTTTATAATATTTAGATAATTCTTTACCAAATAGTAATGATGTAGGTCTTTTTTACTTTCTGTGATTTATAGTTAGAACAATGTCTTCCCCTCTTGACAGGTTGCGTGAAGAGAAAGCGAAAGAAAAACAAAAACACCAGGAGGAAAGGCTAAAAGCTGCTCTGCAAACAGCAGTAGCACAACCAAAGAAAAAGGTTTGTGTTTTGTTATTAATAGGTTCCACTACATCAATGTGTGAGGGCTTCTGTGGTGCAAAAACAAAATACCTAACTCATCTAATTTATCCAGGTTAAACTTCAGTAAGGTTGCTAACAGCTTGAACTGATCTCTCTCTGGTTCCTTTTTGCTACTTTTAGAATGATTCAAATTACTGGTTCTACAGTTCTCCATTAGACTAACTTTTTGGTAAAAGAAACCTCGCCCCTCTCCTCTTTTTCTTTAGCTCCAGGTGCCATGAAACTAGAGAATTAAAAAAATAATACTAAGTGAATTACATATTATTGGAAGGGTCTTTTAATCCTCACACTGTAAAAATAATTAGACTTATAGTTGAAGTTAAAATAATTTACCCAGAGTCACTTCAGATTTAGCAGCAGAATCTGACCAGAAGCCAAGATTCTTCATATTTCAAGATCACCTGTTCAATAAGTTTAGAACTGGGCAGTCACAGAGAGCATGTGGTCTATGACTCCCCCTGGGTGTGAAGAGCCTTTTGTTTCTATATGCCACTCTCCCTCCTCTGAGCTACAGTCTGAAGTATATTCCAGGAAGGCAATCTCATAGTTATCTGCAAAGCTAATATGGACATTGATTCTCACCATAGTCACAGCTAACCTATAGTGAATGCTTCTGCGCCTCACAACCAGCCTTTGAGGTAAGTACTTAAAATTCTGAAGTATGGTAACTGTTAATATGTACTATGTCAAAAAGTGATGATTAATTTTATTTAAATAAGCATTTCATCTTTAAAAGGGTCTGTACTTATCTAGTTCAACTCTGCCTATGAAGACCTAACTTCTCTTCTTCTAAGAGAGAATTAACTATTCATCACCCTGCTACATGTATATACCATTATTTACTAAACTCACTAAATTAAAGTGATTATTTTTTAATATATCCATCTTTCCTTTTAGACCATGAATGAGTTTTATGACCTTTGTATCCCCAGTGCCTGGCACATAGTGGACACTCAATAAATGCTTACTGAATTAACAGACTAAAAATGAGAATGAAAACTACATCTGGAAGAAAATTGGAGAAAGAATGTTGATAAGTCAACAATGTATGAAGACCTCTGAAAGATTTTACTCTTTCAGAGGACATTTAGGACATTTCATCACTGGCAATTTTCTCAGAAATTAGTAACAAAGGTTATCAAAGGAGATCATCACCAGTGGGGGGGGGAAATATGACATTAGGAAAGGAATTCAAGGATTCCAGTCCTCTAAGGATATTTTTGTTGTTATAATGAGGGGAGGATTGCTTGTGCTATTTAGTTCTCTGGAGTCAGGAATGTCAAACATTCTGCAATGCAGGGGACAGTCACACACAGGGTTGGTGCCCCTTTTGAGGCACAATGGAAACGTCCCATCAAATTTCATGTCCAACAGAACAGTTTTCTTATCCATTTAATTTATACAAATTCAGATATAAAGGCAAAACAAAAAATAAATAAATGAATAAGGAGAAGGGGGAGAAAAGACTCAAAGAGAAAGATTAGTGTGATATACTTGAGTATATGCTCCAGAGAGAATAAATAGGTATGAACTGGGGTATCCCTAAGCCTCTCCTAGTGGGACCAAGAGCCAACATGATTTCTAGTTCCTAAGAAAATAGTACATGGTTTTCTCAAGTTTTTGTTTAACAGGATTTTTAAATGCCAGTCAGCTGTTGCTTAGCAGAGGAAAGTGACCTCTTCCAGCCAATGGAGTAGAAATTAGCTATGGCAGTTACTGAGAAATGAAGTCTTGGCCTCAAACATGGAGTTTCTCTAAGCTTAGCATATCTGAAACACAAGCTATCTGATGACTTTATCTAAATCCTCCCACTTCCCCATAAAACCTAACTGCCCTGTCTTCTGCATACCATGGTGCTCCATTGTTACTTAACTTTGCCTGCATTTGGACATCCATTAGGTTATCAACCCCTTTGTAATTGGGATTATTATTTACTATTTTAAACTATATTATCCTTCGGAAAAATCAAGTTAATATTAGTATTTTAGTTACACTTCAATAGAAAATGGTTATATGAAAATATTAAGTACTTTTTCTTTTGTTTCAGCTGGGAAGACAACTTATCTACCGCTCAAAACCTCCATCTGGTAACAAACGTGAACTACTTTTAGTCAAGGATACAAGAACAAAATCACTGGAGGAAGAATATTTTTTCACTTGAACAGGAGCAGTAAGACGTTTATAACCAGAATGCTTTACGCATATTTTGTAGATTTTTGCTTTTCAGTAATGGCAATATTCTGCCCCACACACAGGCCTAACCAATTTCAGGAAGACAGGTCCTTACTCTAAAAGGCTCTTAGGATTGGAAATGGGAGTTATTTTCTTTTGTTGAAGACCTTTATTATCCATATCCTAACCATTATTCTATACAGCTAAACATTTATACTTTCTGTTGTCCCAGGTGGGGATACATATCCAAAGAGACCTTACTGATCTAACTGTATGGTGAATGACCATTTAAGTGCAATAATGGCATTCTGACAACATAAGACTTTAAATAATCTTTTTTTTTTTCAACCAGTCCACAGGAAAGTTCATAGTGTAAATTTTATCACTGTGGAGTACACATTTTAACAATGTGCAACTCTAAAATATTGATTTGAGGAGTTTAAAACTTAAATGAAAACTACTAGATTATGTTCTCATGAGAACATGAGACATAACCAACCATGAGACTGATTTTTAATTCACATTAAGGGGTTCTGTTCAGAAAACTTAATTCTCTTGAGTGAATAAATCATATGTCTTCAGCCTAAATGTCAGTTCACAATTTCTATTGTGTTCTATACTCAAAACCATTTTAATTTTAAGGTGACGTTTCAATTTTAGCTGTAATGTGCATCTCATTTAGCTCCCATTGATACAGAATTAACATGTAATTTATTGACTACTAAGTAAAATAATAGTCTATATTAACTCTAAGAAAATATTTAACTTTATATGTGTCAAAAGTGGCTCAAAAATAACTTTAAAAGAAACAGTTGCTTTTAAAAGGTCTCCGTTAATATACAATTAAAAGGGCTAAAACTGACTTTCATAAACATTTATAGAGCATATAAATAAATTTCCCTTATAGAAAAAAATACAGCATTGGGCTCACATGAAAACCAACTTGAATAAAGTTGGGGGGCTTTTAAAGCATTAGTTCTGTGAATAATTTTTCAACTGTTTCAACATTTGAGCTCTGCATGTAAATATCTGAATATGAATAGCTCACAGTCAAGTTGAAAAACAAACAAATCTTTATTGTCTACAAATATATATAAAAAAAATTCCCCCCGAAAGATGCTATTCTCTCATTTCCCCATCTTCTTCTTCTTCTTCAACACCCCTGATATAAAGGACATTATTACACCTGTAAACAGAAAAACAGTCCATTTTGTTGTTCCAACAAGAAACCATATAAGATCTGAATTACTACTTTTATTAGATTTTTTCATTACAAAAATATTAATGCTAAAATTACATCATTTCTTTCTCTTTTTAAAAAAAATTTACCTTTGGTTTGTTAAAGAGCACATGACACTCATTTTTATACTATGCGGTTGTTATAAAATGGTATCTTTATGATCTTCCAAAGGGAATAATGACTAGAATTTGGAGATGTGAAGCTAGTTCTAGAAAATAAGTATAATACGAATCCCCAATAGCAGCCAGACCCACCTAAAATTCAAAGCCAAGCTCTTGCAACTAAAACCACTGAAAAAGGTACAGTTAAGAGCTAGAAAGTTTAATATCAACACTAGAAAAACCTTAAGAATGAACAGCTCCAAAATATTTAAATCTGCTTTGACAAGTTTAACAATCTCAAGAATCTTGAAGTCTAGTTGTAGAATGTTATGTTAAATTAATAGTGATTTAAAAAAAGTAATTCTGAGATTGGGGCACTAATAGTTTATTTAAACAGGTATTTTTACTGCTCACCAGTAACTCCTTATATAAACTACTGATGTTTTGTTACCTTATTAAAACTTCACCCAGATGTCCAGATAATGCTCCATCTATGTATTCTTCTGTGTTTGCAAGCTTTAAATAAAAAGAAAATATATTAGTATAATCACACAAGAGGAAAATAGTATTATACACCTAATATTGGTAAGAGATCTTATTAACTGAGACCTTTCGGTACCAACGACTCACAGTTACCTACAATAATTAGATTAGCTTTCTATTACTACTGTAGTACATTTTGGTTTCATATAAACATTCAGTAAAGTTAACATCGATGGATGTAGAACTGATACATAATAAAGCTCGTTTCAACACAATTTTTTAAATATCTCAATAATGTAATATTTCTTTCTATTAAACATTAAAACAGCATGTCAAGGAAGATAGTCTCCAACTTATGAATAAGCTGTGAATAATTCAGGTCTAAAGAAACAGACATTAACTGTTCTCAGAGTAATAGCATTATATCATATTGAGGAACCCAATGGGCACAAAAGCTATGGCTAAAATACCAAATACTCTTATATTAGTCAACAACCAAACGAAAGAACTGAATAAGAATTTTTTTTAGTTATGTGCTAATAAACAGGAAAAAAATAGTTCTTAAGAGGAGGTTTAATTAAGAGTGACCTTTATAGTTACTTTAGAGAACTCTATTATTTCTAATTTCATCAAAATGTTTAGCTTTCCTTTTACATAAAGATAATAAACTTTACTTATAATTTAAAAAAATTACAGTCAGTGCTACTGTGACTCACAAAAGAAATGAACAAGATAGAAAGGAAACAGGGAAGTTTCCTTCATTAACTAGGCAAGTGGGCAAAGGGAAAGAAAAATAGGTCTTAGGATATAAGGTAAGGCATTTAAAACATGTTAATGAATTAATAATGCTACTGGATATTATTCCTTCTCCTATGGAGAACAAAAAATAACCTCTTATACTCAGGGGATATGGTTTTGTCTGAAATTGTTGCCAACAATTAATTTTGTATGCAACAGCTCTCAGAAATAATGTATTAACATCAACTAATTTTTTTAAAAAGTGATTATTTCCGGCAGATGTTCACCAACATTTAAACTGGTTTCTAAATTATAATAATGCTCCAAAGGCCTTCTACCACACTTTAAAAAAATTGAACTATAGCTGATTTACAATACTGTGTTAGTTTCAGGTGCACAGCAAAGTAATTCAGTTACACATACATTTTTCAGATTCTTTCCCATTATAGGTTATTATAAGATATTGAATATAGTTATAGTTCCCTGTTTCATACAGTGGGTCCTTGTTGTTTATCTATTTTATACACAGCAGTGTGTACCTGTTAATCCCAAGCTCCTAATTTATCTCTCCCCACTCCTTACCCTTTGGTAACCATAGGTTTGTTTTCTATGTCTCTGAGTCTGTTTCTGTTTTATAAATAAGTTCATTTGTATCATTTTTTAGATTCCACATTTAAGTGATATCATATGATATTTGCCTTTTTCTGTCTGACTTACTTCACTTAGTATGATCATCTTTAGGTCCATCCATGTTGCTGCAAATGGCATTACTGCATTCTTTTTATGGCTGAGTAATATTCCATTGTGTGTGTGTGATACATATGTACCACATCTTCTTTATTCACTCATCTGTCGATGGACATTTAGGTTACTTCCATGTCTTGGCTATTATAAATAGTGCTGCTATGAACACTGGGGTACATGTATCTTTTTGAATTAGTGTTTTCTCAAGATATATGCCCAGGAATGGGATTGCTGGGTCATATGGTAACTCTTATTTTTTAGTTTTTTAAGGAACCCTCCCATACTGTTCTCCATAGTGGCTGCACCAATTTACATTCCCACCAACAGTGTAGGAGGGTTCCCTTTTCTCCACACCCTCTCCAGCATTTATTATTTGTAGACTTTTTAATGATGGCCCTTCTGACCGGTGTGAGGTGATACCTCATTGTAGTTTTCATTTGCATTTTTCTAATAATTAGTGATGTTGAGCATCTTTTCATGTGACTCTTGGCCATCTGTATGCCTTCTTTGGAGAAATGTCTATTTAGGTCTTCTGCCCATTTTTTGATTGGGTTGTTTGGTTTTTGGTTTTTTTTTGATATTGAGTTGTATGAGCTGTTTGTATATTATCACATTTTAAATAAAATCCAAAATTCTTACAATCCCTTAAAAGGTCTTCCATGACCATTCCAATCTTTCTATCATACTTCCTGTAACTCACTCTGCCCTCACCTTGTTGTGCCTTGAAAAGAAAAAGCATGTTTCTGCCGCAAAGCCTTTGCAACTTGCTGTTCCCTCAAATGGGGATGCTCCTCCCCCAACACTCTCTTCAGTTGCTCACTCAATTCTGGTCTCTGTTTAAATTTACTTCTTCAGAGAGGCTTTCCCTGGCTATCCTATCTAATATTGTACACTCTTGTCACCCTCTTCCATTTCTGCTTTCTTTTTCTCCATAGCATCTATCATTACCTGATATCATATCACATTATATTACCATCTCCCATCACTAAAACACAAACTTCTTGAGGATAGGGACTTCTGTTCACTGGCGCATTCACAGTGCCAGGCACATAAGGGGCTCTCAGTAAATATTCACTGAGTGAACAAACTCAAAAGCATCACCAATGTGGTTAGTTACTCAGAGATACATTTCATAACTCTGGCAGGTTCACTAGGAAACTATATTACTTCTAAAACCAAATATTTGGTGGGTATTCTTTTTTTTTTTTTTTTTTTTTTTTGACGTTGGGTTTTCGTTGCTGCGCATGGGCTTCCTCTAGTTGCAGCAAGCAGGGGCTACTCTTCGTTGCGGTGCGCGGGCTTCTCATTGTGGTGGCTTCTCTTGCGTG